GATTATGATACGTGCGCTGAATATGTTCCTTCCTCAGATCTTGTTCAACTTTGCCAAGGTTCAGTAACCATAACATGAACGTGGTACCATGTTTTACCTCTGGTAGAAAAATGTTATTGTAACAAAAGCAATTGATCGAGTGTAAAAATCGATAGTGATGATTTCAAAAGCATTCTGCAGTACTTTGTGTATGTGTGGAGGTTACGTGTTTGTTGGAACCTGTCACGTGGAAGTACGACCTGGCACACAGAGTTCTCTCTTGCAGCTGAGAGAAATGAAGGGAGTGATCAGTGGTACCAAAATAAGAGCATGATAGATTACACAGGTTTCGTGAATGTAATCTCTGGAAGTTTCGCTTACCTTATTGGTCCAGACGTTTAGGCAGTTTTAAATGTGTTGCTTCAAAGCTAATCTCGTCGTAGGTGTCACCCTGCAGTCAGAAAAAAAAGATCCCTTTTAAAGTCTGTTAATTGTTGGGCTGACCATGTCGGTTTTACCACATGTTCGCTCGAGTGTCTGGACATAAGAACTAGCCATGGACTTCATGTGATTGGGGTGTACTGTAAAATCTTACGTCTCATTTTCCTGTAATCGGTACTACAAATATGGCGGACAGGATCACTTCAGTTTAGGGTGCCCTAAGCTAAAATAGGTTAGCTCAATTCTGAAAGTTGATATAGGGAGATAGGGAATAGCTCTATCGATTGGTTTATGACTGTGAAAAGTGAAAAATACCACCAAGGTGAAAACTCCACTGGCGTCGAAAGTGGGCTGCTCCGTCAGTGGGTAAATAATGTCGAGGAAGGTAAATATTATATCAAATCTAAAAGTTCTTGACGATGGTGATGAATCATTTGAATAAGATATAGGGAGATAGGGAATAGCTCTATCGATTGGACCCAACTGAGTAGGAACCTGAAGACGGAGACAGAGCCCCATCTCCGAAACGTCGTTTTTACGTTTTATATTTTATTGATTAGACGATGGGTGATATCCAAGAATCTTTATTCAAGGTAAATATTAGATGCTACGTGTGGGCTTCTTGTGTGGTTGGCAGCCTGGTGTTAATGGAGTTGCCTCGAAGCCGGTGCCTCCGCCCAGAGATCATCTCCGTATCGAAAAAGACGGACGCTTGGTGAACCGGGCGCCGGCGCCTCAGGTGCCCGCCAGAACGGCAAGTGCCGCTGTCACGCCCGCGATACAGAACAACAACACCGACCCCACAAAAGAACAGCTAGACAGTATCAGGAAGTTCCAGGTGAGTTCCGCTGGAACCTGTAGACTGGTTCTGGCTACAATAAGTTCACGAGTTCGATTGAGATCAAATTTCCACTGTTTATTTCATGTGATTCCTTTTAATGATCATTTTCACCGTGGTCCTACTCAGGCGTAAAGCTGTGTCCAGGAAAGGAACACGCTTTGGGTTCTTTGAGAATGAAATGTCGTGCAGAATTTTTGGGGGCCTGAGGAAGGTAAAATGAGAGGAGAAAAGTAATACGGTAGGGGGTTTAATGACTTGTGCTGTCCTCTTATTGGTCCTTGTTAGAGTCATTAAATCAAGGATCACGAGATAAAATGAGTGCGTGTATCAGTGAAATATCTTACATGGGAAAATACGTAATATCAAAATGGATTTTAAAAGTGTTTGGTGTGAAGTTTTATACTGGAATCCGCCGACTCCGGGAACTTTTGTGGACACGGTGATGAGTCTTCGGGTTCCATGAAAGCATAGAAACTGTCAGGACACGTTCTGTGTCATTTAGCAGAGACAGTTTCCATCGTCGCTTGTGTCTGGACTCCGGTCCCTGTTAAAATGTCTTACCGTCGTGACTTGTGAAGCCATGCTGGTGATTGTAAACTGAGTATGGATTCTTCCTTTGGAATGTGTGACCTTGCTTAACAATTTGATTTGCTGCTTCTAACTTGAACTCTGTCCGTCTGTCTGTCATGACTTCAGTTTCAGAATTCTTTATACCGCGTGACATAATTAATAGAACTTAGGATTAATTTGATCTGAGTTAAACATTTTAGATTTACTCTGCACTTTTGTATGTATTTCTGTTATAACTACAGTAATCAGAAATTGTTTTAGATAAAATATGTCGTGGGGAGGTGAGAGGTTATGAAAACTGAAATTTTTCGGTTTAATTTTCAACCATTTATCCTTCACCAATGTTTATCTAAACGTTCCTTCACGAGTAATAAGTACGGAAGTAACTTTAGGAGCAGATCAGTAATTGAATTAATTAAAATTAAATTATATTATTTGGTTATTCCGTCAAATCACAATGTATTTAAAATAAGATAATTAAAATAATTAAAATATCATTCTTTGTTCCATATCGAATAATCGATTTACAATTGGAACAGTTACATGTTTCGGTTTTATTAAACCATCATCAGGTGTAAAATTATATTAAATTTAAAACTCAATTGGATTAATGTTTGTCGTCCTTGCATCTTGGCGTTTGTCTGCCAGACCACGTCGTCTTAACCTTTGAAGGAATGATGTTCATGCCAGTTTTGGTTTTTAAGTTATTAGTGGGGGGCTGGACAGATGGATGTGGTGATGCCATTGGGATGATTTTCCCTGAAGGAAAAAGTCCCAGAAGTCTACCGCTTTGGAAAGTGATAACATGTTCCTGCATTTTCATAAAACGTGTTTGCGAAATAACACGACATGAGCATTGACGTCAGTGTTTACAGATGATGTAATGTTTGTTCTAAAACGTGCACTTACGGGTACACAGAATGATATACAGGGTGTAAAGGCTGAATGTATTCCAGATATTAGTGTTCTGGAATGAACGCTGACGAGGAAGCCTTGTGATAAACAAATTTTGTCGACCTGTAATCCTTTAAAGCCCACTGTGGATTTTGTATGCTTCTCAGCACAAACAGCGAGATCATTTCTTTAAACAGATTTTGCCAGTTGATCTTTGTAATGGTGAAGTGCTGTTTTCTTCGCGGTACGGACTGAATTCTTAAGTGTAACGAGATTCATGCATCGAAGTGTTTTATTTATTTATTTGCAGGCTACAGTGTCGAATGATAAGCGATTAATTAATATATAATTGGAAAGGATGTGTATGGAAGGAAGTGGTCGTGGCAGAATTTAAGGTACTGGAGGGAGTGAGGAAAACAACAAAAGTCAATTATGATAGACGATTTTTCAGGCGAGAGTAGAACCCAGACCTCCGGGATTCGAAGCAGAAATTCCATTCTCTGGGCAACGACGTTCCCTGACTTACGTGCTCCTGTATACGTAAACAAATAACGGTTATGGAAAATATATTTATCTGAATGTTCAGTATGTATCAGAATCGAACCTGGATCCCGTGGCTCTGCCCTGCCCTCTGGCGACACAGCCAGTTCCGGTCACGAACGCCGGAAGTGAGCCAGGAAGTAAATTAACGCGGCAGTGAGGGAGATACGCTCTTGAATACGTCCAGCTTACGTATGTTACGTTCTGGGCGCGCGACGTGTTAGAATCATGCCTTCAGTTTCATCGAAGATGAGAGAATCTTACAAAATCAACGTTGCAATTCGCGTATTGAATCGGGTAGGCTCCAGCGACGTGATGAACCTTCGATGTTCATTAGCACTTCGAAGCTCGAGCATCGTGTGACTAATATTTACAAACTCATTCCGTACCGCGAAGAAAACACAGCACTTCACCATTACCAACATCAGCCGGTTAACGCTGTTTAAGGAAATAATCTCGCGGTTTATTCTGAGGATCGTACGAAACATAAATACACCGTGGACATAATTAAGTGTTACTGAATGTTAGAAGTATGTGGTATATATGGTTACCACTGCCCCTTTAAAGAGTTGAATGAGGTGAATTTCTTAAGCAGATGTCGGTTTTTCAAACTAGACACAGGACCGTGGAACTTAACAAGATGCATTAATAGAATTGAGAATTTAAGCATATCTGGGAATGTGTTGTGGTTTTCGACGTGTTGATACATACCGAAGGCCTATATTTAGCTCACTAGATCTGGACCATCCTGGGCGGTTCGCGACCGTGACGGTTGGTTGATCACCGGTCCAGTTTTGTGTCATCTGTGGATCGAGTCGGTGTGAATTGTGGTTTCAGGACCAGTTTGTACTTTATCCTGGGTTTTTATTAAAGGAAAACAGTTCGTAGTGTTAATTATTTACCACACTTGAGGACTGTAACGTTCTTGAAAAATTTTCCGAAGTGTCGGACTTCTGGGATTTTCTTTCGCGTGGAAAACACGACCGTCTGTCTGACCACGCTGATTGCTTCTCAATCAGATGATGAATTTCAATCATAATTGATATGAATATTCTGCCACTACAGGTTAATAAACCATATTTTTAAATTTTCTTTCATTCAACGGTTACGGGGGGGGGCGCTCTGTTTCCAAGGGTTAAAGCGGTCGGAGCCTTAAACTAACATACGTTCATCTACTGCCGAATTTTTAAGTATGCGTGGAGGTACATCTCCACTTATTTGTGAGTCTTTATGGTATTGTACCAAATTAATCGCAGGGTCAACTTAAAAGTTACAAGTAATAATACTAAAATGGCGGCCGTGCGAATGTCTTGAGTTGGGAGCACACCAACGCCACTTAATATAGGTTCTGCCCGTGCAGTGTGGTTGCCGTGCATTTGTAGATCTGTGAGGTGTTCAGGAGCACCTGAAACATTGGCGCACGCAAGCGAGAAACACTTTCAAACGTGTTTGGACGGACCCCAGACGTGACAAGTGTTTGTTTACTGCGATACACATTTCTTATCGTTGTGACTCGTGGTGCCTTGACGTCACAACTTTACCTGTTATGCACGGTAATTATTCATAAGCACGAGTGTCGCATTCTGAGATAGGGACCCGCATTTCTGTAAAGAAAGCTACGTGTACAGAACACGTGTGACAAGTGACTGTCATGGCCGCAGTTTCGTAGCCCAGTTCTTTTTGGACGCTGTAAATGCTTGGGACAAAATTGATAACATTTAAGTGGTCTAACTTCGTGATGGAATGTGATAATGATTGTGGTTAAGTGTTTTTTTATAATTCGTTATATTTTGTGAGCTATGTAATGATGTAGTTGAAATGATTTGCGACGATCTTTTGTGAACATGGTAGTGAACCGTTGCGAATTTCTTGGTCAGTTGAGCAGCTGTCAGCTTCTAAGGAAGGACTCTGCTCCGCGGACCTTTACCTGTTACGGTCAGGGTCCTTCAACAAGTGAACAAATTTTGTCAACTTTCATTGGACTGTTACAGAAAGTTGGAGATTTTGTGTCTTCGTGGTTGTTACAGATAGAATGCAGAAATTTATTTGTTTGCCTACACCATGTACAGTGAGGATATTTGGCAGCTGTGCCGTTAGGACTTGGAAACACGGCAACCCGAGCAGTGATCGCGTGTATTAGAAAGGCCGTGCCTCTGGCACAGTCTCCAAGTGTTCTCACTGTTCTGCGTAGCCTTGCCATTTGAAGGGAGAACATGCATTACATATGTCGAAAAACAAGGTTCTCGGTACATTTAGGAGGATTAATGTGTGGCGAGGTAATTTTCTTAACGTCGAAAGCTTTTTTTCACCATTAGATCCGATATTAATGTATTTCTACAAATTTACTGTTCAACCATCAGGGTAATGATCATACCCTTGATGGTGAAAGCAGCAAGGACCTCTGAAACGTCGGTAACTTCTACCAGGCTACCGACGCAACAACCCAGAAGATAGTCATCGCCGTGAGAACCTGGATTCGTGACAGAGCGTGTTTAACGCAGTTCCGTGTTTTCCTCAGGCCTCACCGTAGTTTTCGTTGCAGGAAGCCTTGCGGAAGCGGAAGGAGGAGGAGGACCGGGTAGCTCAGCAGAACGAGTTCCTCAACAGAAGCGTCAGGGGCTCCCAGAAGCTTCAGGCGCTCGAGAGCCGCGCCACGCCACAGTCCCCAACAGGCGTCGTCAACGACGGATTCTCGTCGGCTGAGGAACCGACCGTCGCCCTACCACCATCTGCCGATGAAGAGCTGAAGCAGGAGTCGCTGCACAGGGTGATCGGTGAGCACTGAACGAAACAGCGGTTTTCAACACGCGGTCCGCCGGCCGCATTCGGCCCCTCGTGCGTTTTGGCAATAGTGCCCAGGACTAACCTGGAATAACAGAGAGACTTGCTAGTCTTTGGGAGTAGCTGTCAGCGTACTTAAAAAGAAATTAGACTTGATATTGAAAGAGCTCGGTCAGTACAGTGACCGCAAAGAAAACGCAACACTTCACCTTTACAAAGATCAGCTGGTTAACCTTTGGAGCCGAAGCTCTTTCAAATGAAACTTAAGAATTCAGTCCGTACCGCGAAGAAAACACTACACTTCACCATTAAAAAGATCAACTGGTTAACCGTGTTTAAGGAAATAATACGACTAAAACGCCAATTAACCTTTGGAGCCGATGCTCTTTCAAATGAAACTTAAGAATCCAGTCCGTACCGCGAAGAAAACACTACACTTCACCATTTAAATCTGTTCGATGAAATAATCGCTGTTTACAGCGAAAATCATACGAAACTTTGTAAATTAAAATATAGAGTTAATGATTATTGAAGCGGGTGGTACATATGGTTACCACTGACATTCAAAGGCGTAACTAGGTTCACGGGATGCCTCACAAAATGAAATCCGAGCATTGAACATGTGACGATAAGAAATATCACGTCTTGTTCTTCTGACAACGTCACTCGAACAATTGAAACACGCAGAAATCGCGTTTACGTAACCAAGGCACCGCCCCCACTCCGCCCCCTCGGCGCGTCTCCTCTTGTTGTTATGTAAACGACACGCGTTTTCTCTTATGACTTCCGCCCCTCGTCTCCGCCATCTTCCCGCTGTGCACTTCCTGTTTCCTCGGCCGTACGAGCAATGTGAAAGCGACGTATAAAAGTTGAACGTCCCCTTATTTCGGCAAGGTATAACGTTCACTCGCCTTCAGGTATGGCTGATGTTTACGTTGTCCCTTGAGCCCGTCTTGCACTTGGGCACCTGGGTGCGTGAGCGACGCGCAGATGTACTTTCAAAATGAGTCATGGTGAGGGGAGAATTGGTGGGGGGAAAGAATGCGTGACGACAGGTAGAAGGGGTGTACATTCCGTTTCAAAATTGTGCACAGCTGTCCGTTTCTGTTTTCCATTCAACCCTCGCCCGTCACGTCACGTGGTTCGATAACGATGGGGGGTTATTTTGAAAGGGTTCAAATCGAAACACAGAAAAGTATTATTACTGTATTCAGACTTAGGATAATAAATGGATAATGATTTGGAAAGGTTTCGGAAGGAAGTTATCGTTGCCTGATTCAATACATTATCCTCGTATTCGCCTGGAGAGACTCAGATCCAGGGTTCGTATCGTAATCCACGACTTTACATTGTGCTTCTATGTGAAAGAGGTTATATAAATGTTGGTACCTTGGATCGAAGTACAACGCCGATTGGCGGATGCGATCGAAGTCCTCAAGATGACGTTTCACAACGTGACGTCACGCGTTGCGTGGTTCGTCAAGACACTCGGTCAGTCACAGCCGGTTCTTGTGGTATGGAGAGGTGTTGGTAAGGTGTACTAAACCCACAGCTTCGTCCAGCGCCCTCGAATTCCATCGGTATTAACCCTTTAAAGCCCAGTGGTTACTATATTAACCACCTACTTTTTTTTATCATTAACTCTGCGTGTTATATTCATGGGCTTCATATGAGTCCACTCAGTTGATGTACATCATGAAATGACATCTTGCTTACAGGTAGAAAGAAACTGACACGTGGATCTTTTCGTGAAAGCAAACGCAAAATCTGTTGCAGGCTATGGAGAGCTCGTTGCTTCTCTGCAGCGACTTCAACTTCAGCTGAAGAAGAATGGATTGAGTCAGGGCCCAGGAGGATATACGAGTCTGGAGGGTCAAATCGCGGCCGTTCAGACCCTCTTACTGAGTCCTGAGTTTGGTAGAGCCCTAGCAATACACAACAGGGTGCAGGAAGTTTGGAATCAGTGGCATCCACTGCCATCTGGGGGTTCCAAGCAGCCAGCAACTGCACCAAGTCCTGTGTCCACGCACGCACAAACGCTCGTCAGAGATGTAAGTTTATTTTCCAATGTTTTCAATTTGTCACAATTAATACTGTATGTTGGAATGAATGCGCACAGAATTTCTGCCGGGAAGCACCTTGGAAGGCGGCCACATTTTCTGCGTAACAGGCAGAAAAGATAAATGTGGTTTTCGTAATAGTTTTTATGGTTAATGACAAAGTGTTGACGTAACAGAAACTGCTTGCGTTTTTGAGACTTTTGATGAACGAAGCGATGTCTGATGATTTATCCGCAGTGCTTGGAGACCCTACAGCCAAGTTCTCTACCCGACGCCGCGGAGCTGGCCGACCTGCTGACTCGGTATGAGTTTGAGGGCCTACTCTATGCGCACGACGCAATTGCCACACAGGACGTCGCCATCATGGCTGCTGGGACGCCGTCATGTGAAGACGATTCATCTGAACAGTTTGGCGACGAAGAGAACATCAAAATCATCAAGATAGAGAAGACCAACGAGCCTCTCGTACGTGACGGTCGTTGAACTTCTTTTGAGTTCTCTGTTATTTATCGCAGTACTGATATTTTTTTACACTTGTGATTTTTCATAAAATGTTTTGATTTCTATTTCTCATCGCATAATTCTCACATTTTATTTTTTTGTCGCGACGTCAGAATCGAAGTACCCATTCCGGGGCAAGATAAAGCAAAATTCCATCCTGCTTGTTTTCTGATTCGCCAAATCCCTCGTGATAGTAAAATGGTCACCTTTAAAGTAAAATTGTTCTTCTCCACTCCATGAATGAATATGGGGGAGAGGAGATATAGCTCTTACTCATTCCTGACTTTGGCACTAGATGGGGTGAGTGGTCAGATTCACACCCTGGCAGCGCTGTACCCAAGAGGACGGGGCCCCCAGTACCTTTTGGATATGGGACGTGTGTTGGTCCCAGAGTCCGTCTGAAATCAGAGGCTAGAAGAAAAATCCTTTGCCCTCTGTTGGAAATCAGAATTCATTTGTCTAGTCCAGAGACGTACTATTCATGGGCTTCATATGAGTCCACTCAGTTGATGTACATCATGAAATGACATCTTGCTTACAGGTAGAAAGAAACTGACACGTGGATCTTTTCGTGAAAGCAAACGCAAAATCTGTTGCAGGCTATGGAGAGCTCGTTGCTTCTCTGCAGCGACTTCAACTTCAGCTGAAGAAGAATGGATTGAGTCAGGGCCCAGGAGGATATACGAGTCTGGAGGGTCAAATCGCGGCCGTTCAGACCCTCTTACTGAGTCCTGAGTTTGGTAGAGCCCTAGCAATACACAACAGGGTGCAGGAAGTTTGGAATCAGTGGCATCCACTGCCATCTGGGGGTTCCAAGCAGCCAGCAACTGCACCAAGTCCTGTGTCCACGCACGCACAAACGCTCGTCAGAGATGTAAGTTTATTTTCCAATGTTTTCAATTTGTCACAATTAATACTGTATGTTGGAATGAATGCGCACAGAATTTCTGCCGGGAAGCACCTTGGAAGGCGGCCACATTTTCTGCGTAACAGGCAGAAAAGATAAATGTGGTTTTCGTAATAGTTTTTATGGTTAATGACAAAGTGTTGACGTAACAGAAACTGCTTGCGTTTTTGAGACTTTTGATGAACGAAGCGATGTCTGATGATTTATCCGCAGTGCTTGGAGACCCTACAGCCAAGTTCTCTACCCGACGCCGCGGAGCTGGCCGACCTGCTGACTCGGTATGAGTTTGAGGGCCTACTCTATGCGCACGACGCAATTGCCACACAGGACGTCGCCATCATGGCTGCTGGGACGCCGTCATGTGAAGACGATTCATCTGAACAGTTTGGCGACGAAGAGAACATCAAAATCATCAAGATAGAGAAGACCAACGAGCCTCTCGTACGTGACGGTCGTTGAACTTCTTTTGAGTTCTCTGTTATTTATCGCAGTACTGATATTTTTTTACACTTGTGATTTTTCATAAAATGTTTTGATTTCTATTTCTCATCGCATAATTCTCACATTTTATTTTTTTGTCGCGACGTCAGAATCGAAGTACCCATTCCGGGGCAAGATAAAGCAAAATTCCATCCTGCTTGTTTTCTGATTCGCCAAATCCCTCGTGATAGTAAAATGGTCACCTTTAAAGTAAAATTGTTCTTCTCCACTCCATGAATGAATATGGGGGAGAGGAGATATAGCTCTTACTCATTCCTGACTTTGGCACTAGATGGGGTGAGTGGTCAGATTCACACCCTGGCAGCGCTGTACCCAAGAGGACGGGGCCCCCAGTACCTTTTGGATATGGGACGTGTGTTGGTCCCAGAGTCCGTCTGAAATCAGAGGCTAGAAGAAAAATCCTTTGCCCTCTGTTGGAAATCAGAATTCATTTGTCTAGTCCAGAGACGTACACCGCGCTGACCGCTACCCTGGTTCTTATTCCATCTATATAGGTTTGAATATTGAAATTGAGCACTTGTTAAGAGAATTCTATATTTTTACACAAGCTTTGAACAGAATAAAAAAGATGGAGGGATTATGAGAGTGTATATGATATATTGTGTAACGTCGCT